AAAGCAGGTCCTTGTTCACTATATTTTCCACCAAAGTGGCTCTGCTCTTCGATTGTGATTCTGTACCAATGACTACATTTGTCTATTGTCTCCTGACATAGTTTTCCTCCTGATTTTACTGAAGACAGCTTCCATGGAAGCTCCTCAACAGCTGCACTGCTCAGTGCAAACTTTGCCATGGGCTGCATAAGACTAAAGGGTGATCATTGTCCACACAGTGCCTTGGAGCTGGGTTTCTGAAAACACCTTGTCCTGGACCACTTAGGCAGCAGATGCTGAGAAGACCTTTGGAGCCAAAAGAGAGMCCAGGCTGAGAGCAAACCTTTACTAGAGAGGCCAGTGACCACAGAGAGAAAGACAACTGGCTCAGATGGAGAGGACTGTGAATTCCTCCTTGTGTTGGGACCTTCTGTGGTCTCATAAGCACAAGTCTCCTGTTCTAATGAAGAGTTTATTAGCCCATGGTGCCTTTCCAAGTCTGTGATGGAAATCTGGCCCTATGGAAGTCAAAAAGYGAAAGTCCCACTGGCATCAGTGCAATGAGAATTTTGCTCTAGTTACTTAAAAAGTGAAGTGAGACTGAGCTGCAGCTTTTGCAAACTGTCAGGCAAGTGTTGCAAAACACCTATTCTATAGCTGTTGAAAACAGGTGATTTATCTTACTGCTTTCCTATGTTAGCACTGTGTTTTACAAGACCATGACTTCGTAGATTTTGTCAGACAGGACCTGTGAAGACCAGTATCTCATCTAGGCAAAACTGTAATGAATTTTAATTCCAACATCTTTCAGTAACCAAAAAAAGTTACAAAACTCTATCATGTTCAAGGTCCTAAAAAAAAATCTTCTTCAGTTTCTATATTAAAAGGTAACACAAGCCATGATAAGATTGATAGTAATGACATTATAAATTCTGCTTAGCATGCACAAGGAGACCCTAATTGATATATTGAAAGGATATGTGTGAAATCAGTTGAAAAAAGTGTTAATGGTCCATCAGAAAAACCAAAGGGAAAAAAAAGAGATCCAGATCTTAAAAAAAAATAAAAATGATAAGAGCACCTAACGTGCATCTTAGGTACTATCTAGACATTTAAAATTGCCACTATAAATCTGAAGAAAATACTCAGCCACCACATAACTCTTAAGGAGCACAAGCTAATTAGATGGTGCAATTGTGACCTTGGAATTGCTTGTTGTTTCTGTGGCTCCACTTCTCTCCATGCTCAGAAGTGTTTTGTTTTTTTCACTAGGGCTGAAAAGCTCAGTGACTCAAGCTCCGAAAATTAGGTATTTTTCCTAACTGTCTGGGGAGTCTTGATCCAATGGTGTTGTCAGGTCCCAAGTCACACACCAGCCAGATCTGATGCTTTAAAAATGCTATTGCTTTCTGCTCCTTCTATTGGGACTTTAGGTATGTTATATTAGATTTTGGTTTGTACTTGAAAGCCTAAAAGGTAGCTTTTGCAAAGCTAATTGATACAATTAAATTGTATAAATCCTTCTTTTTTTGAAGCAACTTCTTGTTGTAAAAATCAAGGACTTGAATTTGGCCTTCCAAACTTGGGACAGATGTTTCAGCTTTGGGAACTTCTTTCTTTCACGGAATTAGATTTTGTTTCTTTGGTTGGTTGGTTCGATTTTATTTTTCTAACTATAATTAGAGAAATGCACTACCTATATACCATTCTCCATCAGAAAATATCTGGGAGAACTATGCAGTATTTTAAAAGATATCAGGCAACACTCTGAGAGTAAATGTTGCTCAGATTGCTCTGATCTTGCAGGCAAGCAGTGGAACTGTTTGTGGTTCTAAGTAATTTAAGTGTAGCTGAACCTGACTTCATAGAGCGTTTGGACATGCTTCAGAAGTGCATATTCCAATAAAAATGAGTTGCTGCTAATATACCAGACAAAGTCCTAGAAAAACCTGCTTTCCATGATAAAGAACAAAATTAGTATTAGGTCAGAGGTCTTGTGGCTTTCCATTTATCATTTATAAATTCTCCAGGATAAACTATATGCACAGTAATCATCCAATTTCAGCCAGGCAAGCAAATTTCAAAGATTCTATAATACCCTGAGTTATTCTCTGATATCATGGTCATAACTAAATTGTTCTAATACTATGGCCATTTCTAGAGTCATTTAAGCAGGATATTGAAGGTAGAGAGCAAGCACTTTGACTAATACACAGTACTGTACATTCTGTTCCTATGCACATAGTAGCTGATCCTAAATAAAGAGGCTTCATCCAGGAAAAGTAATACACATAAGTTTGCTATGGAATTTTTTATTAATCTTTAAAATAGCATCAGCATAAGGAGCCCTCGTGGTTACTTGTTCCCTTGGAATTTCTAGCTAAATGGCTAAATCTCCAAGAAATATGATTGACAAATTTTTACTGCCCACTGCAGATGGGTTCTTAGAGCAGTTCATCCTCCTTACCAAATGTATGGCTCCAAAGGAGCAGATGAACAAGAACGTAATAATCATGACTGTATGGGAATAGCCAAATTAGCCTCCTATTTTTTCCCCCCCCCACCAATCTTTTGGTTGGTCCTTTTCCCCCCATCTACAGCATGCTAATAGCACCCCTATGGGAAAAATAGAGAGAAGAGACAGAGGTACAGGAGCCTCTTTTTGCAAGATCCTGAGGCAGAGGGGAGCCCAAGAAGGAGATCTGCTAACAAGCCAGCACTGACCAGGCAAAGCAGCAAATAGAAGTTAATCAAAGAATYAGCTACTCTGGTAATGATACTGAGGACAAGAGATATTTCACTACAGCTCAGGAGTCCTATGTAGAGGAGACCATTGAAAACACCTAATTGTTGTCTATAGACTTTTTTTAAGTAGAGTTGATCAGAACGTGGATTTGTAGATACTAAGGCAGTAAAGGCCAGATAAAGAGAAGATTGACAGGAATTCATAGATTACATTAAGCAGTTAGGTTAGGTAGAAATCATCCTGATGTGCAGTCAAGAAAATCACTGGAATGTGAGATTTGAAATAGTGGGAAAAAAAAGTCTTAGAGCTCTTCCTTTCCTACTCCTAGAGAGCATTTCCTTCGTCAGAATAAACCACCTTAAAATCCCTCTGTGAATGACTGTTCATTAGTCTATCAGTGCAGATAAAGGTTCTCAAAATCACAATAATAATTAGTAATAGTTCAAACAGTAGAAAGGGACATTATTTTTTCACACATGAATATTAATGCGTCAGTAGAGAGCATCTTCCCAACATGCTTTCAAACTCGAATTCACAAGTCTACTGCCAGTTACCTGTTATTTTTGCTACCCAAAATCTCCCCACTGAGCCACCAGAAGATTTCACATTGCCTTGACTTGGAAGCTAGCACAGAGGGTGAGAACAGAAGATAGCAGGAATGATGAGACCATGGTGTCATGATAATGTTCTTTAGAACATGGTATTGTTTGCTTAACCAAAGCTTATACCAAAAGGCAATGAAAAGCAGTGATAAGCATGAAGAAAGACTATATTTAGCTCCATTTAGACCAGTGTAATGATGGATTATCAGAAAGGGAAAGAGATAAAGGTGGGGGAAAATGGAATAAAATACTTAACTGCAGAATAATGTGCATGAGATAAGAAGTGAACAGCAGGCCAGATATGCCCTGCATGCTGACCATCTCTACTAAAGGGTCCCATCTACCATCTCCTCCCCTCCATGAGAGCATCACAGATGGATGGAGAACCACCTGAAGGGTGGTTCACAAGGCCACAGACCACAAGGCTTCAAAAGAGCTCCTCATCCTAGCCAGCACAGAAGCTCCAGCTGAATAGTAACAAATCCTTTATGGTTTTTACCCTCTTAGCCCKGTAGACTATGAAATAGGAACTTAAAGGATAATGTTCTTGTTCTAGTTTCCTTGTGCTTTGAAAGAAGAAAATGAGCCGACAAGAGTAAACTTTAAGGTAACGTGTTTCATTACATTACRTTGTGTATTTAAGTACATGACATCTCTAAATAACTGAGAAGGGAAGGATCTTGTGAGGTGCATTTAACTTCATTATATCTGATGCTGGTCTTGAAAAGCTTTAGTCAAACTAAAGACTCCTATGAATATAAAATCAAAGTGAGCTGTACATTAAGGGTTTCATATCCTCTGACAGCTGCGCATGTGCACTCACAGCTCTCATTAACAGCAATGGCAAAGATGCATGCCCATCATTCAGAAAACAGATCTCTTAAGTTCYTTAGTGGTTTTGTTTCTGGAGATTTTTCTCTACTGGACCTTTAATTAAGCTCCTACTAGACTTTTTTTTTCCCCTTTAACTTACCCTCTCCTCCCCACACATACACCTTTTCAAGTGGCGTAAGACCCCAAGTTACTGTGCTTTTTCAGGCAAGTTTTTCCAAGCAGCTATAGTTCTGAAAATGCACCTGGCAATAACACAGTGATGGTTTGCAGCATACAAGGCACAGAGACACATAATAGGATAAATGCCTTGCACTTTGAAAATAYTTTTACTGCCTGCAAACTTAAAAAAAAAATAGAGCGGAGGTAAGTATGAAATGAGAACATGACTGTTTTTGCATTCTTTTTATGATCACTGTAAGGCAAGAGCCTGCAACCCTGTGGAACAAAACACATGCATTTCATTCTGATTAACATAAAGACAGCCCCTTCAAACATGATTCACAATTATTAGTCTCTCTCTTGTGTTTGGGGATATATGGATTATCAGCCTAGCATATTTTGAATATATACACATATTAATTTCTTTCTGAAACCGTTTTAGGCACTAAAGTTCAAATCGTATATATAATATTTATAGACCCATAATTCGGTATGTTTTATAGTTAAATAACTAAATGCTAAAGGAGATAAAAGGCAATCAAAAACAACAAAAAGACAGGATCATGGATAATGGAAGGTAAATCAGATTTGAGATGCCTCTGTTCCTCTATTTTTAATTTTATTATTATTTTTATATAACAGGCTATTTCACTAGCTTCTGCTGTATCTGATGTACTTACTTATCGCCTCCACAAACTGTTCAAAGAAGCAGTATGGGAACAGCGGCTCAGGCAGCTCTCTGAAAAACATCTTGAGTGCTCCGGTGACAACGTGGATGTCCTCCCACTGGCTGTCGTCCAAATTCAGCTTCTCTTCTGGGAAAACACGAGGAGAAATGGAACAACTGGTTTTAATGAAACAATTACAAGACACTAATTATTATGTTAATGTTTGCCTACTATCATCAGCAACCGTTAACAGCCTTCTGCACCTAGAGGTTTGGTGCTGTGCATGTTTTTTTTTTTCCCCCTCTTTTTTTTTCCTTTTTTTTTTTTTTCCTGTAGGAAGGGAGCGTTTTCAATGGAATACCATCTGTAGGAATGCAGCGAACAAAAAACCAAGAGGCACAAAGAGACGGCACCATTGACACAGGATGTCAGATACGTTTATTCCCGTCATGCATCAGGAGGAAAATTAGCATCCCGGCTCAACATGATTCAAAGCTATTTGGTTTCGAGGCCGAGGGGCTAAGAGTTGCCAACGCTGGCCGGCTCAAGGGACCGGCCTAAAGGCCTTGCCGAGCCAACAGGAGACATATGCTAAACATGGCAATAGAAAATGAGTTATTGCTTTACATGTGTTAGCCTTGCTATGTACAAGGGAATAATGGGGAGCGCTTTCCTCCTTTTTTTCGCCTGAATGTAATGTCAGCAAGGAATAGAGTGCTGTGAGAGAAGGGATATTAATTCCTTCGTACTGCTTCAAAAATATTTTGTTTGGTTTTCATCTCTGGGAGGAAGATTTGCCCAGCAACAATATTAGACAGACCCCTGTTGGCCTACCTAGGCTATGCAAAGCTGTCAAAAATGATAACACGCGAAAGACAAACCACAAGTGCTTACAAAACTGTTTTGCAAACAAAAAAAAATGTTTTCTTTGAAGCTTGGCTGAGCTAAGGAATTTAAATATAAAAGAAACTAAGTGCTAAAATAGAGTTTCTAATGAAAATAAAGCAAGATTGGCCGATTATTCTATTTTTCTTTGTCTTTTTTAATCTAATAGCGTGATACTATCAGAATGCAGTAAGCAATGGGATCAAAATCCACTCTGGGAAAGTRTAAATTTTCATTAGTCCAAATCAAAAGGATGCATGCTTTCTACAAATTCTGTTATTCCTAAAATGGATTTTGAGTTTTACATATATGTGTGATATAATTTTCATTTTTAGAAAATTTYGAATTCAAATCAGTAGTCGACTATGAACACCACGGAAAAAAATAATTTGAAGCAACATAATGCTGGAAGGTTTTATTAAAAGTCACTGAAATTTGGTGTTTAGTCTTCCAGCTTCTTTACTGAGCTGCCGTTGAACAGAATGGTGAAATTCTTGGAGTTGTATGGAACGTGCAACACCAGGTCCATAGTCTATTGATGAGGAAGTTTTCTCACCATAGAGGTTACTTTTGGACAGAAAATCTCATCCGAAATGGWCTTTGCTTTGAAGTCTAAGTGTTATTAAGTGCTTTTCAAATATCTGGGTTTGGGGAATGTACACAAATAACGGAATGGGCCCAATTCCTGAACTGGGAGCAACGGGACACAGGGCTGGAACAAAGGCCCACTTGTGCATTTTGTCTAGTTGACTTGCTCGCTTCTTCGCTTGCAAGCTTCTTTCTTCTTTCTTTCTTTTTTTTCCTCCCCCATTGAATTACCTCAATCATAAAAGTACTGATTTGATCTCTTAGCAGAGGGGATCTTCTTTTAGACTTTGAGATCATATTTGATTGATCGTATTTCAACAATTAGCCTTTTATTTCGCCACATACCATTGAACTAGATCGACAGCGTCTTAGCGGGCCAGCTTTAAACAGTCAACTGTTAACAATAGCATCAAAAAGAGAGACCTGATGGGGTTTACTGTCACTTTAAAGAACAGGGTGGGTTTTCACATTGTTGAAATCTGTCAGATATTTTGAAATGTCCCTCTCACTATGGTGCCACACCCCCTGCGTGCCCTTATAATAAAATTGGTTTTACTCCTGATTAAATCATTTTCTCCCTACCCACTACCATACTTCTCATAATGGACCTGTGTGCTCTACAGCTGGTGTTCTTCCCATGGTACCAATTCTTACTTTATCTTTTAAGCACTTTGCTGCTAAGATCTCATGCAGAGTGCTTATGTTTTGTTAAGAGCTTCATTCTTAGAGAAATAGCTTAACACATGTTCTAAAAATGTTGTACAACTTATTGCTTAAAACACATTTAGAAAATGTATAAGTACTGTAGCTTTGGCACAGAACTTTAAGTAGAAACCTTAAAAAAAAAAAAAAAAAAAAAAAAAACACAACTTGTTTTTTGCCATGCATTTGTCTTAAATGTCTAAAGTGGAAAGCCTGACTTCTAAGGCTTTGCAGAGACTTTTCTTACCAGATTTTTGCACCATTTCCAGCTCTTCAAGGAAACGTGTTAGGAATGTATCATCGTGAAAGCACAGGGTGTCAATTTCCCCTCTAGCAATAAGAGATTTTTCAAAAATGTTTGCTGGGAGGAACAAATGCCAAGTCAAAAAAAAAAAAAAAAAAAAAAAAAGAAAAAACCAACAAAAAAGAAAATGCAAGTCCATTCGCCGCAAGGTCCGCCGTTGGTTCCCGCTGGCCGCGAGCACGCACATACCCTGGCCATAGGGCCACAAACAAACATGCATGCAAACATATTCATTTATTTCAGATGATCTCTTTTAGCTTTCCTTGGCCATTTTTATTTTGGGGGTGTTTTGTCTACATAAAGCTTAAGTCCCAAATCTGGTATTTCAATTTGCCAGTCAAGGACTGGGCTCAGGATCTGGGAAGATGGTCAGAAATCTCACAGTTCTAAAAATTTACTTTAACTTGTCCGCAGCTTTTGATTAGTTCAACCATCACTGCCCGTTGATATCATATATCTGAGATAGAGACACAGATATGCCTAGAAAATCCCCTAAAATTTATGTTAATATGTGGGATGAAAATATGAGGACCACATTAAAGAAAAAAAAATAGTGGGGCACCTGTCAAGGTTATTAGCTAAGAAAAAAAAGAATGATATATAATACAGTGGTTAAGGCAGTGTGGGGTTTTACTGTGATATTACTATTAGTGTAGTTCTCAATACACTAGCCTGTCTTGTAGTTGCATCTTTTCACAAACATTTGCAGTAGAACTGGAGTTTGTGTCTCATCTGTGCATGCACCATATGGATTTTCTCCTTTAATAAGTGCAAAAGATAATCATTGATCAACTGAAAATAAAATAAAATAAAATAAAATAAAATAAAATAAAATAAAATAAAATAAAATAAAATAAAACAAAACAAAACAAAACAAAACAATAACGAAAAAAAAGAAAAAGAAAGAAAATCAAGCAAGGCAGCACAGAGAGCTCAGTTCTGTGAGAGAATGGTAGAATGATTTCTCTAACCACATGCCCTGCCCTGTATGTAGAACTTGCCTCTGGAAGCAAAATGCAGTCATTTGAGACCACTTCTGATTTTTTTKTTGTTGTTGTTTTCTCTTTTAAGATAATTTATACAACTGGTTCCCCAGCTATGTATTGTCCTCGGCCCACGCTGCTTTTAAATCCCGGAGCACCACGCTCTGACGTCCTAATTCACATTAGATATTGTATCTTCTYGCAAGTGCTCCCATGGATTACCCCGACTCCCACTGAAAGCAATTTCCAGCAAATGCAGTTCTCAGAACCTGGCCTATGCTATGCAGACTGTGCTCTCAAGGCACAGAAATCACCTCTTTCACAAGAATTAAACAGATTCAGATTCTATGGGTGGTCTGCTTCCCTGGTGCCACACATGAGGAAGAACTAGCACAACACTGGTGAGGTCTTTGCAGGGACGGTCTTATGAAGTGAGTTGAAGAGATGAAGAACAAAACTAAATAAAAATCTCAGATGCCTATGATGAAGATGCTTAAGATATATCTAAAGGAACCCAATCCCACCCAAAGAGATAACACAGAAAGGGAGAATATAAAATAAACTAGAAGAATTTACTGCTCGGTAAATGATATAGATATGATGATGACAAGAGAGAGGAAGGGTTGAGGACAGGTATGCAACAGAAAGAGGGGAAAAGCATAGAAGAAAAGGGGAATAGAGAGAAAAATGCTGGGTAATACTGTCCCACAGCTGCGGTACCTGCTATCAGGGGTCACTGATCCCAAGGATGGTTGTGTAAAGGAGCAGGGGCCACCAAGATCTTGYTCCAAACTCAGACCAAGAGGATATCTCTCAGTCTATGATTGAGCTACTTTGGCAATTTCAAGAGAGACTATTATCTAATTTTATGTATAAAAAAGCAAAAACAGAGCTCTTATTCAGCATTTTTCTTTCAAAACTGWGAGATATATCCTATTGAGCCTCATTCTGGATGAATCAGTTTGCTCACGTCTCTGTCTTTATGGTTTCTTGGTGCGTGCAGCAGAATTACGAGGGTTGTGCTCTGAGACACGACAACCACTGCATCTCCCTCTAAAATCTGGGCATTTGGGGACCAAGTCTCAGTCCCAGGGCTCCGCGGCATGAAATCTCTGAGCACTGGAGCCTCCAGCCCTAGAGACCAGCCCATATTCAGAAGGAGATCTCCCTCCGAGAAAGCCCAGCACAGCAGTATTTACTAATTCCCTCTATTTCTCTCACATCAAAGTCTTAACAGAAAAAAATAAATAAAAAAATAAAAAAAAATGGGAGTACACAATGCATTCCCAGTTGACTAAAAGCTTGGGAAACTTGCTGGACTTGCACATCCCAATAGGCAGTTGAGTAGTGAGAGCTCCAAAACAGAGCCCTGTGGTTGAAGGAGGGGAAGAAAAGCCCTCTTGCACCATACTGAGAAACGACTAAGTGTCAAATGTCATTCTTCTTCTCTCCCAAACTTAAAGACACCTCTTTTGTATGATACATTCTTCAGAAATAGTTTGCAGGCCACTTATGCTCTTCAATAGTAAAGAGAGAAAAAGACTTGAGCAGAACTGCTTCACTTGTTGAGTCCTCAGCATGCTCCTTCACTACTATACGCTTTCTATACTACACTAATATTAACTTATACAGAGATAGGGATGTGTGCCCAATAGCTGTGTGTACATTTTAAAGGCAGAGCTTCT